ACTGAGTTCCACAGTGGAACGGTGCACCACCACTCCTGAGTCTGCTAAATCTTCCTGCAGGTTTTTTGCAGTCAAATGGGGGTTTTGATTTGTCTTTCTGACCAGCATACGAGCAGTTCTGTCCGAGAGTTTTCTTGGTCTTCCAGATCTCATCTTGACCTCCACAGTTCCCCTGACCTGCCATCTCTTAATTACATTTCTCACTGTGGAAACTGCAAGCTGACAACACTTTGCTATCTTCTTGTAGCCTTCTCATGCATTGTGGGCATCAATAACTTTCATTTTCAGGTTCTTACACAGCTGTTTAGAGGAACCCATGGTTGTTGGGTGTCCGCAAGGTTTGAACAGTCAAAGTATTTGTACAGCTTTGAAACTGGCATTTATTAATGCATTGTGGGCATCAATAACTTTCATAATGAGCTGATTAAGGTCTGAAACCTTGTGAGAGACTCTGAGACTCTGGAACTCTTAGAGTGCCCAAACTTTTGCACCGTGCCATAATAATGTTTTTATTTTTTATTTTTGTTCAATTTATGGCATAAGTAGTAACTATGCATCACTGTTTGCTGAAAATATTTAGCATTTTTTCTATTTCCAAGAGAGACTGTGTTAACATCTGTTCAAAAAAAAAACAAAAAAACACCAAAATCTGTTATTTATCAAGGGGTGCCTAAACCTTTGCATGAGACTGTACTAGCCTTATATTCAGTGTATGGTGATGAGAGCTGTATCAGTATAATTCTTAAAAATTAGAAATAATTAAGCATATTTTTCCCAAACATTGCTTTAATAAAGGAATTAGTTTAAGACAAGTTTGGTCTTGCTTTATGAAGCAATCTATAAATTATTCTCCTTGTAAACTTGCAAAGCAAATGTAAAATATTGTTTAACATTCATTAGAAAAACCAGCAAAGCTAGAAGCCAGACGATGACATTTTTGGGCAAACACATTTTAGTACAACACAGACCTTTAGTATATTCTGTGTATAATCTGTGTATATACACCTGCTAACATATTTGACAGCCAGACAATAAAGCATGAAAGTAATCGGAATCCAACCAATATTGCTCAGAAGCAAACATTACAAATGACAAACAGGCATTATTATGCTGATTACAGTAATTACAATCCCTAGACATTTGTGTTGGCCCTCAGGTAGCTTACTTATGTTAATACAACCTGTTGTATCTGTGGCTGACTAATGCCATAGGCTTAACAAATAAAAACTAATACCCCTGTACCTGATTTTAAAGTTCAAAATAACAGTCTGAAGCTCACCTATGTGCAGGATGACATCATACATGCCAAGCTGGGTGTCTTTTTGCAGTCGAGCCAGAGACTGAGGGTTTTCATTTCCTAGGTCACCATACAAGGCAAATCTGGGACTGAAACTAGTGCTGTCATTCAGAGCTGTGAAGTAGAACACATCACTCCAGCCCTCATCGCTGCCACAGTGGTAGACTGAAATCAACCCAGGAGAGGAATGTTTATATGGTGGACACGCAAAGAGAAGCTTATTCATATCTGAGCTCTACCCACCATAATTAACAGCAGGTTTAAGGCCTGTGAGAATAACTCTGTGAATGTACAGCTTCCTCTTCTCTTCTCCTGAGTCTACAAACAGAGTAGTGTTGCCTTTGGTGGTCATCTCAAAGAACTGACCCCCAAGAATGCCATACTCCACCTTGCTCTCTGTCTTACTGAAGGTGGTCCAGGTTACTACCATGGAACCTGGCTCTCCTGTGAACACAAGCCCAATTATTAGAAAGGTGACATAGATTGATTTGAGAAAACTGAGTTCAGTTACTGGTGCTTTTATAAAGGCCAAGAGATGCTTTTTAAAAAGCTGACTTTGCACAGTTACAGTGTTTTTGATCTTACTGTTGGCAAGACACAGTATAGGCATCAGAAAGCTGAGTTAAGCTGAATATCAGCCAGGTATGCATTTTAATCAAGAAAACCCATTAAATGGCTACCATGTTTCACCTTCATAAGGAATAAACAAAAACACACTCAGCAACATCAGCTATATGTGTGACAGTTCCAGCAACTATCTGGTGCCTTTAAGCTACCAAATGACTTACAGAGAGTGCATAGGTAGTGTTTAAGTGCACCAGGACAATTCAGCACATGTAGCTGGAAATAAGCCTAAATGTTTCATGAAGGCCTTCAGCCATTAAATTATCTCCAATAAATAAAACATATACAACTGAAAATGAATTTGAACTTCAGTGAACTTGTTGCAGAGCTACAAAACAGCAACAACAAGTTCCGCTTTCTGAATATACCAGTGCTTTCACATTTGTACAAAACAATTGGAAAATCTGCAAGCCATACGACCTGGATACTAGCTTGTATTCCAAAGGGGTAAATAACTCTCTAACTGAAAACAGATGAAGTAGTTCAAATGCTTACCTGGATAGGCCAGATGCACCTGCTCTGGCTGGGTCCAAATGGGAGGAACACCAAGCACCAACAGGGGAGTGAGGCTAAACAAGGCACAGGCAGCATGAACAGGCACCATTTTAACATTGCACTGCAGAAAAACACAAGGCTGGTTAAAGTAGAAAAACACACCCAGAAAACCAAAACAGATTTGTCACTGCAATCACATGACTTTTTACAGACAGCTTTCATAACAAAAATCACATGACCCCAAGGGCATTGTTATAAGCAAAGTGGACAAATATACCACATCTCTTTTAAGCATTCCAATAACTTTGCTAATTTCACTGTCACTTTACACAATGCTCAAGTAGCAAGAACACACACAAAGACTATATTTCAGTCTCTGAGGGTAACTTCCACATCAGTCAACCTGCAGTTAACCTGAATGATCTGAACTGTGGAACCAAACCAGCAGAGTCAGCAACAACAGCACAGAAAGCAATCAATGCCTATATAAGCAGCTGATGTTGTTTTTCATTGTGCACTTAGGCATGTACTCCTGCAAAAGTTATCCATGGTACAACAGAGATTAGCCCACGAGCCACAGCTTGCCTCGGATTAATAAAGTGCTAAGGCAAACAGCTGATATGCCTCACTGATCATATCTGAGGATAAACCACTGTCAGAGTTACTGCTCATGCAGGTTCAGACAGGTTTTACATCCCCAAATCAGAACAAGTTGAGGCAGTATGTAAAATGGAAATTAAAACTGAAAATAATGGTGTGTAAACCATCTGTGACCTGTATTTCATTGAAAACAATACAGCTGCACATTATTTAATGTGGTACCTCATCAACTTTATTCAAAATAAACTTGTTTCTTTTATTGAATTTGTTGCAGGCATCAAAATTGAAATGAGTGTTTATTTTGAACAAAGAATAAAGTTAATGGGGTACCACTGTTAGGTATTTTTAGTCAGATAGAAATTGGATAAATACTTTATGTATTAGAAATGTTTAGTGGAGATAGGATGTGTAGTTAGACTGTTAAATGCTTAGGCATGCTCATGAGTTTCTACAGGGTATACAGTGGGTACGGAAAGTATTCAAACCCCCTTAAATTTTTCACTCTTTGTTATATTGCAGCCATATGCTAAAATCATTTAAGTTCATTTTTTCCTCATTAATGTACACCCAGCACCCCATATTGACAGAAAAACACAGAATTTTTGACATTTTTGCAGATTTATTAAAAAAGAAAAACTGAAATATCA